AGGTGACCCTTGTCGCTCATTAAAAGTTTTTTTTTTTTAAATACTGATAATTTAATAACACTGGTAAATGTTATCTTTAGCAAATTTAAAAATCAATTTTTCATACCAGAAGTTTTTGCCAACGTTACTAATCAGTTATTCTCAGCTCTTGGTCAAGCCGCTGCCTCGCCTGTCAATCAGGGTTAGCTGCAGGCGCGGAAGCAGGAGCTGTTTGGCCCAGTACATTTGAATGTTGACATTAAAATTCCACACTGCAAAATTGTGTAAAAATTGGAGCTTGGTGGCCTAAATTTAGATGCAGCTGAATAGAATGTGGCAAGTGCACTGGATTCTGTCAGTCAAGGAAGTGTCGACGCCTGACATTAAACGAGACCCGCCTAGTTGTCACCGTTTCCGACCGGTTTGGAATCTGTCTGCAAGCCTGTTTGCCTGGAGTGCATGATTCGGTGGAAGGACAAGGAGATGGCAATCAGTGATGAATATGTGATTTGAGCTGATGAAGAGGCCTGGGAGGGAGGAGGAGGATGAGGAGGGGGGGTCTCATTATCTCACTTTAGCTAATTTAAAAATCAATTTTTCATACCAGATTTTAATAACGAGTCATGTCTGTGATGTGTGCAGTGAGAGTTGTGTGCGGAGCGCAAAAGATGTTTTTTTTTTTTATGAACTTTTTTCTCATGAACTTTTTTCTCTTTAAGATTAAAGGTTTGTTCAAATCTCAAATCCCATGTATGCACATCAGTATTAGTAATGCTTACTGTAACAAGTCCCACTACTTAGAAAGTAAGACTTATTTGGCATGTTATGTATGCATTTTTGAGTGAATATATTTATACATATTCAGTAGATAAATCTCTTATTTTTGTCCTTGATACACTCACAGAAAGAAAAGAGTGTTTGAATCTCACTCTAATCAGGGGACATCCAGCCAGGCAAAGAGGACTGATTAAAAAAAGACTCCTTGTCACAACACAAGAGCATCGTTTGGCTGGGGCTTATGGGCTTATTGTGAGTGAGGGCCAATGTTAGTCAACCGCAATCAACGGCAAGAGGCCACTACACAGTTCATCAGAGACCCCGAGTAAACAAATAAAAATGCAGCGTGGGTCTCTCTGCAGACTGTTCGATTCCAGAGAGGAGAATCCTGGGAAGGGGAACTCTCTGCAGGAAGCACGATAGGTGTTTTAAGAGGAGCTTGAATCATCTGTTCCTCGGTTTCTGTTCTTTGTTAAACTCCACGTAACCTCCATCAAGTCATCTGTCAAACGGCTCTCTCCCCCTCGTCCCCCTCCTCTCTGTCAGAATATAACTTGATTTGCTATGTCTGTATCCCTGTGATTGTCCTGCGCTCCGATAAGGATCCATGTTTTCAGGGAGGGTTTGGCTGCGCCACATCTAATGAAAGATCTTAATTAGATCCATTTGTGCCCAAAGGAGAGTAGATGCAATATTAAATTGTCACTTCTATCACATTCCTCCAATTTAGGCTGCAGGATACGTCTCGATCCATTTTATTTCACCGCAGATAAATGGTGAACTTTGCTGTCACTACTACCTGCTGCTTTCTCCCTCTCATCTTCAGCAGAGCGCGAGTGACCGTTCCTCTGGAAGGAAAACATCTTCCTCTTTGCTATGTATTATAAAACATTAGAAAAATTCTAACTTTTTTTTTTATTATATTATACAACTTTTCTTTTCTTTCTAAATAATAATTTTTATATAAGTATTGTTTTTAAATATTTATTTTTAAATGATTATTTTAGACAAATGTTAAATTGTTGTTTTATTTTTATATAAAATGGAACATAAGTGGTATCACTGGCCTACAGTCCACAAAAATCTGTTTTACAATCTAGTTTGTTTTAGCTTGTTCAATGATTTAGAAATAACACAAACAATATATTGACTTAAAAAAACTAAAATCTTTGTCTATTTCATGTTTTTGTCTGCCTCAATAATGTGTCTTTCTCTAAATTTGATTAATTGGCATATAATTTTACCATATAATTTTTTTTTATAATCACAATAAATTGTGTAAAATTGGCTGTACTATTATTTAATTGTTCATATTAACAATTTAATCCATGTCAACTTTTTCTGATAATTCCAATATACTGTGAGCACTATAACGCATTAGACTGCAAACATCTAGCGCAGGCTCACGTAGTCATCACCTCTGATTGCCTGCACTTGTCTCAGCACTGGTAGAAACATGCAGCACAACTTGCATTCTGGTAGCTGACATTCCCTCTCGCTAGAGGAAGTCAAGAAGTGTTCTCTAGGTATGCCGAATCGCATCAAGCAATGCTGGTGGAAGATGACAGGGTCCTGAAACAGCAGCATCAGCAGCCGACTAAGAGCAACAAACTCAGCTGCTCTGCATAAATTTTATACGTGCAGTATCTCTAAACACACTGCTTTATACTCTATCACACCTAGTGCCGCTGCATTCTTATATCTCTGCTCTCCTGCGAGACGTGCTCTTTCATATCCATAGATTTTCATGGTTGAATTTTTAAGGTCTTGCGATAGCAAAAGTTTCTCCGATATGTCATCACTTCGCCAGACGTTTTCCCATCCCTTCGCAAGGTCCACATCTTTCAGTTTTTTTCCTTAGAATATACTCGCACCTCATTACTTTTTTTTTCACCATTCTAATTTGTCTGAAACATCTTTTCTCATCTCAACTATGTTAGATGACCCCCCCCCCCTTAATGTCTGACAAAGAATGTTTTCAAATTTGCACGGATAATGAGAGACTGCAGATGGAGGTGTGAGAGTTGAAGCTGCAAATCCCTCAGCAGCGAGTGCATAGTTGGGGGCTCGTTCCTCTCACTGGAACACTGGTTCAGGGTGAGCCGAGGATATTTGTACCTGACACCTCTTAGTCTATACCCGTTGAGGTTAGCTTGGTACCTCTCCCTCATGACTTGCACGTTATTTCCACGAATACCTTAAAAACAGCACTGTGTTCGGAAAGCTGCCTTGTCAACAGCAGCAAAGAGAAACAAGGACAAGCTAGAGACACTCGGGAAGGACAAGTCCCATAATAAAGGGTTGTCTGGCAGGCTATCTGCTTTTTCTATCTAAGCGGAGGCTAATCAAATTGCAAGTTTGGTAGCCTGTTGTCTGTTTTTAATGATTATTTCTTTTGAGCTTTCAGGGTCACGAAACCAAAAGAATCAAAACAGAATGTGCAACAGACATGCTTCCTGTCATCGTCTTGGTCATTATTGCATCTGAATTCAAATGGGTTAGCCGAACTAGCAGCACAACATGTTTGCGAGGCATATCTGCTCATTGAATCCCGAGAGAGGTGTGTGAGAGAGGGAGCATGGAAGGAGCAAAGGCCTGCTGTTGTCTCTTGTCACCATGGTGAGAAATGGACAGAATAATTGCGTTGTTCCAGGGCCTGAGGAATCCCATCAGCCAGGAGCTGGTGCTGTCAGAGGACATAAAGATGCCACTAAAAACTTAACTCTCCACTGACACGTTGGGCGGCTTGGGCCTGCACAAAACGACAGGGGAAAAGACAGACAGATTAACCATGGTGAGGGTTTGGGAAACAGCCAGCTGAGATGAGGGCTGAGTGTGCCTGTTGCCAAGATTGTGTATGATGGATGTGAATGAAGTAGAAATAAATGCTCAGGGTTGCTTAATTCTTACGCCGTCTACTCCGCTCTGGGAAATACCGGGGGTTTGCTAGAATGCACAAATGAAGCTTATTTTCTCTCATTGTTAATAAGTGCACCTCTTTTGGCCATTTTTATAGAAAAAAGACAATAAGAGGGGACAGGAAATTAGTTCATCCTTGCTGGAAAAACAAGATTATACTGGCGTAAGGTAGTTTTGAAACGTTTTAGCTGGTTTATTGTTGATCTAAGGTAGTTTACCAGCTCTAACCAGCTTGACTAGCAGTGTTCCACAAAACTGAAGAATTACTTATCTAACTATCTATCTGTCTGTCAGTCCGTCTGTCTTTCTCTCTTTCTCTCTCTGTCTGTAGATCCATCCATCCATATGCATATCCAGCCATCCATCCCTCTCTCTATATATATTCATCCAATATCTATATCCAAAACGTAGGTCAGATCTGAACCTTTGTCTTCAGCATGAGCGCCATAACATGTAGGGATCACCTGTTGCATCACAGCTCTGACAATAAGCACACAATTAATAGAAATCCGCACGGGTTTAACATAAGTGGGAATTTGACAAGTTTCTTCTCTTTGTTAACTTCAAAAAGGGCTTAACATTGCCTGAGGAGCTCTCTTGTTAGCCGTTATCATTGCCCTATATGATAGGTAGGCTGTTTGATCTCAGTGCACTAGCTCTCAGCACAATTAACGTTGCTGCATGAAGAGAAGTCAGGTCTCGGCGCTCCATACATCTCTCCAGCAGGGAGAGTTAATTGTGTTTTGAAAAATAGGCCTGGTTGCATGACTGCGACCTCTACTACTGTCTGTTCTCACCGGTTTGAGATCCCGCCCGGCTCGGAGACTTCCAGCTTTCTGACACCTTTTGTTTGTAACTCAATTAGAGTGTCTTTTAAAGTCTATCCATGCAGCTCACTCTACATGCTTTTTCTGAGAACTGTACTCTGAAACATTCCTATTCGAATTTTCTTAGATGGACTGGGGGATTGAGTGTTGGGTCTTCGCAACACAAGAAAAACACCATTTGCAGCTCAGGTGTTTGTGTTACTGTGAAACCAAAAAGTGTCAAATCTGTAATGTTGCAAGAGATAGGACAGGTAGTCCAAGCAGCGTCGGGCATCACAAGCTAAGTGTTACCTGGTCCCCAACCACACTCTCACACACTCAACAAATCACACAGTACCTCCTCTTCAATCTCCCCGTGGGACACAAAACCCACAACCGGTCATCTCCCAATTCCCTCTTTTCCAGTTCTGAGCTTCCTCTTTGTCTCCTGTGCGTTTGAAGTCCTCTGAAGTGCTTTCACATGGGCCTAATCTCTTGTCTTCTTCTCCTCTCCTTCAGATGGTCACAAGAACAAAGAAAATATTTGTAGGCGGATTATCAGCTAACACAGTAGTTGAAGATGTGAAGCAGTATTTTGAACAGTTTGGCAAGGTAAGATCTCATTTTTCTTTTTCCCTTTGGCTAATTTCACAGAGAGATGTTTGCATATGATGAGAAACGCTGTCCCTCAACGGACACTTTCAAGACTTTCAAGCAGGCCATTTGAGATGTGGCCATTTAGAGATGAAAGACCAGTGTTTGCCTGGTCTCTGTCGTCCACTGGATGTAGTAGCAAAGACCTTATGCTTAAAGCTGCTGTGTGTAATCTTTTCCATGTTAAAATGCTTTTCTTGGGACAGCTAGCAAGCCACAAATAGGTTGACTTCCCTGAAAAGAGTGCATGTATGATGCTATTCTAATGCATAAGCTTTTGATTCATTTTGATTTAAATCCCGTTTTAATTAAATTTGATTTGATTTATTTGGGTTTATTTTAGTTATAATGCCCATTTTCCTAATGTATTCTTCAATATAGAAATAACATATTTTTCTACTAATTCTGTCATTTATACAGGATAGTGTTTCAGACTGATTCAAATTTTTGTAAATTAAAAGAACCGACTCATAGGAATCAAGCTACATTGTTCATGTTGCATGGTTTTGAGTCACTAAAAATAACTGAATCAAAAGAGTCATTTGTTATTATCATGTATGAACTGAGTACAGGCATAGATTAAAAGATTGATTTTGGGCTTTTATGAATCAGTATCAGGTTCATTCAGGTATCTGAAAATCAATATTTTTACCTGGTCCTACCCGATATGTTTTGTAAGCCTGATATCTACCATACACATGCTGAAGACTGATAGTCAACCCGTATATTTGTACAGCCCAGGTGAACTTTTCTGTTTGCTGTATGATATGACTTTGAGTAAGTTCGCTGTCTCTCTCTATTTCAGGCTCTGTATAAATACCTAGCTCCATTTGTTTGTAATCAGCTGTGTCTGAGTGGACCTAACACACACTTGACTTGATTGAAGGGCTCAATTATTCAGATGTTTTACTTGCCCTGTGCTGTACGTCTTGCCCTGGGGGTGTTTTCACCAGCGCCAGTGCTGGCAGTAGACAACCACTAAATCATTGTGATTAAAGGAACGGCAGAGGATTTGTAGCTTCTTAGGTCACAAGACTATATTAGTCTTACCACAGCCTGGTTTATTGAGGCGTACTTGTCTGCCGTTCTTACGCAAAGCTGAAGATCGTTATTTTGAATGGCCAGTGTGATCCAATAACGCTAAAGACCTCAGTGCTCAGTGTCTCGTTGTTTATAAGTTGCGAAGCAAACGCACAGTCTAATGAAATGTCTGTCTCTTAAGACAAGAAAATTACAAATTGACCGTCCGTTGAATGCACACTTGTGAGTAAAGGCAAAACGAGCCTTCAAAGTGAGTTGTGAGTGAGTTGGATGCTCATTTGCTGCAAACTCTTTATGACTCTGCAAATCCGCCCACCTGGAGGTTTTGCCACCGTGTGGTGTCAGTTGAGCTGATACCCGGAGGTTTGTGTGTGTGTGCGTGTGGGGGCATGTGTGTAGGCCAATTAACAGTGTCTCCTGGCGAGCGGTGGGTAGTGAGAGAACGAGGATCCTGGGAGGAGAGCAGGTGGCATGGGGCAGCAGGGTCACAGGATCTGTCTCCTTAGAAGCTGTGTTCTTCCTGAGCGCTTTTTCTGTGCTATGACAGCTTACACACACACACACACACACACACACACACACTTAAGCAGCACTAAGGGGCATTTATTGCACAACACTGCAGAATTAAGATTTTAAAAGCCTTTCCACAAAGGCTCTTTGAGTTAGATCCACTTTTCATTAGCAAACCGTCATTTCGTGCTAATGCAGCATGTTGCCTTTTTACTTTTAGAAGGCATTCCTAAATAATTTAACTTGTTTCCTCCAAAACATTTTATATGTGTTAAGACAACAGACTTGTCATGGTTTGATTATAAATCTTGCAAAGATATTTTGTACATTCGACGTGATGAGAACGTAAAAGGCTGCTTCGCTCCCTGCATAAACCTTCATGTGCCCTAATTACATAGGGTGGCTTATGCTTAGTCATAGGTTTATTGTAATCGGCTTGGAGTAGATCTTCAAACAAAGTACACTTATTCTGCTAAGTTGAAACAACTCCTGTTTACTTCATTACCACCCTCCCCAATCACTCTCTCTAGCTCTCTCTCTTTAGTGTTCGCTGTGCTGCAGTGGCCAGGCTTTAGTTTCATTAGGCCTGAGAGTTTTTTCCAAGCCAGTGCTTCGCCACAATCAGGCCATTATGCCTCCTCTGTCCTGGTTCCCATATTGGCCTGGGTGAGAGCCAACTTCCACCATTTCAGGGGCAAAGCTTTAACCTCCTGCAGCCTAAATAGACAGTTTATCCAGCATGTGTAAAATACAATATAATAACAAAAAATTATATATATATATATATACACACACACACATACATTACACACATCTATCTAGTAATATAATGTATGGGCAGAGTGACCGATATGATATTATTAAATAATACTATTTTTTCTACATGGCCCACATGTCATTCTTTACATCAGCAGGAAGCAGGAAAGAAATTTTGTTTCAGCAGCAGAGAAAATTTTCACATTTTGATTTAAAGTAGTTAGCATTGCATACACAGATAAATTATTAACAGTAAGACCAGGGAAATTTATTTAGAAAGTAAATAAGGTCAATTTTGGTTTCATGTTGTGTTTAAAAGTGAGAAATCCAACTGAAAATCATCTGGTTGATTTTGAAAATCAATGTTCATTCTTCACAAAGCATAATTTTCTCCACAGAGCGTCCTTCTCTCTATTTTTGACATAGAACAAATTTTATTTTTCTCTGTGGTTTTGACTCATGACTCACTGACCAGCCCACGTTGAACGCTGGACAAACTAAACCGTAATCACCAGTTTGGTGACAGACTGTGTATTGTCACAGTTTTCTCTTGCTCTCAGCTTCAGTATTCAGTGAGGACAGTGGGCTGCCTGTAATGACTGCATCCCGAGCACTCACTGTTAGTTAATTTAGCATACCTGGTGAACCGCTAACATTTAATAACGGCATTCGATTTACCTCAGGCTCGGGTAATAAAAACAGTGCACTGCTCTATTTGCAAGCCTCGCTGCATCACTGAGCCCTTAAAGTCTGATTTGATAAGCTTGTTTAACGAGAGGTGTTTGTGGATTCGGTGTGAAGAGTTTATTTCATTGTTAAAAGCACTATATAAATGAATTGAATTGGATTGAAAGGTTAAAGTGATTGTGCATAAGCAAATAATAAAGATTAGCAAAAGCCTCTATGGACTGTATGAAAACAGGGATAAGATTTAACACCACACCATTGCTTATGCTATATGTAACAGTTGTTTTCAGTGAATTTCCACTTCCTTGATTTAGTTTGGAGTGTGCAGCTTCAGCTTTGTGAGCATTTCATGGTTTATTTTCTTTTAATGTCTTAGCAGGAACTTCATTGTCTGGGCAGAGATGTGTTATTTCTTACCAAAAGGCCCTTTGGACTGCTTTCCTCCATAAGACTGGCCAGGGAAGTGTCCTCTATTCACTGGGAGGGTTAGCAGTAAATCCCTGCGGACTTCTATGGAGCCTGTAGTCCTTAAATGTTCTCCACACATCAGTGGCCTCGTACAAGTGGGAAGTCACTAACAAAAGGTAGAAATTCTTAAGGGCGGCTGAAATACTCAATCACAGGCTCCCCGCTCTCCAGTGCCCTATGGAGTGAAGGGAGAAAACAAATGAGGAGCTAGTGAGGGATGAAAAGGGAAGGTGAGGAAAAGAAGCAGCTTTTGAACTGGCTGGGATTAGTTTTAAGATGATGCGCTCGCATCCTCCCTTTTCCCTCCCTCCTCTCATCCTTGCCCATCCGAGCCCACACCTGTATTTGTTTCACCACCAAGTCTTTAACAAGGTCTCAAAATGGCTTTCACAGCGCTTGTGTTAACCAGTGAAACCAAATCTTCTTGTGAAGATTGAAAACACAATTGATTTTGGGTAGGGCTGAGGTCGCCGGCCCAGACCTCGCTCTCTTTCCGCCTCTGTATGCTCTCACGCGCCTTGAGATTGATCTCTATCCTTCTTTCATTCTATTTTATTTTCTCCATTGTTTTTCTTTGGCTGGACACACATCCAAAATGTTTTTTTTATCTTTAAAAAAAAAAAATCTAAATGTCACCTCACATTTTAAAACTCCTCTCCAAGGAAGTCAATAATGTTACAGTTTTATTTAATCAGAAAGCATGATTAGATAATTGTGTATTATATTAATAATAGTATAATGTGTGTGTATAAAAATTATGTATTATGTATATGAATTAGTCACATGTAGCAGCGAACAATAACTTTTAACTAACATTTAAATCTGGTATTTAGAATAGTGAAGTTTAGATTAACTTTCATGAATTAATAAATTAATGATTGATTCCTTAATTTTATTGTTAAGTTGCACTCCTTGTTCTTCATATTAACTTTTAGAGGCATTATTTTCCAGCAGAATGATGTAATTACAACATCTGCCAGTAGGGGTGAACAGCCTGTTGCTAACGAGCCAAAATTTGACCCCCTAGTCTCCCCGTCCTCTTTCTCAATCTCCCCAACGTTTAAGGTGTTGTAATTGTGCATGAATACCGTGGTACGCTTTTGTACATAAAAAAAAAAAAAAAAAAGCTTAAATTCTTCTTTCGTGGCAGAATGCACTAGGGAACTGTCTTCTAACAGTTGGTGTGTAAATGATCTTTAAAACATTTTGCTGAAGGAAAAATAAAATGCAGGGTACCCAGAAGATTTCCCCTCAGTTGTCAGGGTGACTCAGAAGCTTTCAACCCAGCGACTCGCTCACGGTTACAGGTTCTAAAGCACAGGCACCAAGATCTAGCTTAGCGGGACTGTTTGAAAGAAAAATGAGACAAATGATTTAACACTCTCCCTGACCTTTGTTTGCTCTAAGTATTGGCTGTGTTTCCAGGAGTCAGGGGGGGATGATTTTAAAATGCCCACAGGAGAATTGGAAGTTAAACTGCTTCTTGGCAATGATTT